CCCTCCCCCCCCCACCCCCCCGCCCCGCATATGTTTGAATGTGATATAGACTTCAATAGCGTAGATCTGGGAGAAAGGAATGGCATTGCTGTTGCCCCTCATTTCATAAAGACTCTGTCTCCACGCGCAATGTCAGAAAAGACTGCGGTTTTTTTTAACACTCAGCAAATGTGCAAATGTGATTCCTCCTTCAATATTGACTCAAAATCAATTCCCCTGACTGCTACTTCGGGTCGCCTCGCGTTTTATGTATGTAAGCAGCAAATAAGTCATACTGTAATGCTCCACGCAACGAAGGTATCAGTCCCGCAGAGGAGCATGTTTAGGAAATATTTTTGCATCAAACTATTGTTACCTATAGTATATGTGAGAACGTGTGTCAAAAGGGAAATTTTTGTAGTTACTCATTTCACCATCTCCTCATGCCCCTAATTTGCGCCTGGATACTGTGTTAGCAATAAGTGAATAGATAGCGATAGATAGCGAATGTAAATACGCATGTGAATAACAATGTAAATGTGCCAGAATAAGAACATTTTACGTAGAGAATCCATAGCAGAGGAAACACGAGATAAACAATTACGAAAATACCGTATGTTCTGGACTACAAGTTGCACTGAAGTATAAGTTAAGTAAAAATGCATAATGAGGAAGAAAAAACGAAATATAAGTTGCTCCGGAGTATAAGTCGCATAAGCCAAATGAGGGGAAAAAAGTGCGACTTACAGTAGTAGCAGATACTGGTGCAAAAGCCTAGAGTGCCCTCTAGCGGCTATGAGTATGAAAATATCGACCATGTAAATTTTCAGAGGTATAGGAGTAACAGATACTGGTACACAACGGTGCCCCCTAGCGGCTATGAGTGTAAAAAATATCGACCATGTAAATTTTCAGTGGTACAGGAGTAACAGATACTGGTACACAACCCTAGAGTGCCCTCTGGCGGCTGTCAGTGTGAAAATAACGAACATGTGAAATATATATTTTGATATATATAAGTCGCAAACCCAGCCAAAGAATTAAACAAAGTGCGACTTATAGTCTGGAAAATACAGTATTTATCATTTTTGCACTAATCAAATCTATTTTATTTACCGGTTACCAGGTATACTGTGTACTACTTTAACCCGCACAAGGAGGCGCTAAAGGGTAAAGCGTGTATAAGAGCCGATCTAATGTGAGGATTTTCCAGCATAATCACAAACTTTTTTACTATGTGTATTAATTATTAGCGTTGAACTATAGGCTATAAAACGACATGCAGCAAACGATCTGGAAACGTAGGTGCTCGGAACGCAACGACCTTGCACGGCCTTTTCTGAGATTGCGATCACGTGAATCATTACAAACCCACATGATAGTACTCCCGGAGTCTAAAACAAGACTCTTAGACTTTGGTAAAGAAGTCACGTCTGTATTTAGAGTACAGGCAGAGGTACTACTGCCCGGAAGCATTTCTTGCCGAAAGACAACCAACTGGCTACCTGGCTGGTGGTCAGGAATCTGTGAGGCCTGTGCTGGCCGCAGTTTACCAGATGCACAGCCCCCTCCGGTGAGCGTATTGCAGCTGGCAGCTCCAGGATCCAGCAGACTGGCTGGCCTTCAGTCAGAAAAATGCTGGAGGCGAAAGAAGTTATTGGACATTCCGAAGCATATGGATGAAATAAAATAAAAGAAAGAAAGAAAGAAAAAAAACTCATTCATCCATCAAAGCAGAAACTGGAATAGAAACCGGAGACCAAATATATTCAATTTTATGTGGAAACTTGATTAGAATTCGGTTGTCATCTCAACATATTTGCTTACAGTACGTACCGGTGTTATTTCATCAAATTATGTGAGTGTATACTTGCTGCAACAAAGTGTAAACACAGTTTACTTTCGGGAAAAAATAGTAACCTGAGATTGTGCTGAAAAATTCAGGTGGGAATTCTCTTTCAACTTGGCTGCCAAGTATACCGCGATATGTTTCTTTAGCATTTGAAAGGCGCTAGATAGGTGGGGTGTTGAAGAGACGAAGGGCATTTGTAGTGAGTTGTATGAGGGTTTCGAGGGTTATTTTCACTTGGGGGGCAAACATCAGCAATACAGTTCCTCTTGAGGGGCCCAAAAAAAAAAGACTTGGCGGGCCGCATTTGGAACCCGAGCCTTAAGTTTGACACGTGGTTTAGACGACGAGGACAAAAAAAAACTTGAGTCAATACATTAGTTAAGGAGGTTTATCTGAAAAAAAGCCACACAAGGTGTGCAGCCGGAGTGACTGATGGGTTCCACGTTGGGATGGGGCTGCATTAGGGATTAGCTTTGGACCCCTTTATGCTTGGTGTGGAGATAGAATTCATAATAAAATCAGAATTCATATGTAGGAATGACAGTGACACAATTTAATTTCGCAGCTCAGAGAACTAGATTGAGAACATGTACATACATACATACATACATATATATGCAGTATATACATATATTTATACGTATATATGGTATAAATGTATAGATATATATGCAGCATATACATATATGTTTATACGTATATTTAGTATATATGTATATATGTATGTATATATAAATATATATACATACATATATGTATACACATACACTGTGTTCCTACACTGTCCTTGATTTAAAACAGATATTTTTCAATCATTTATTCTTTTTCACACGCTTCCATTTCCTTTTTGCCGCCGTATTGAAACGTCAGCCGTTCGAGACACGGTTGCTGTGGTAAACGCTACTGTACAGGTGCGGTCTCCTTGTCACAGTACGCACAGAGGAGACCGCGCGTCCCGACGCTCCTGCTGTGAGGCAATTCAATTCCGAGGGGGCAAACAGATTGGCCGAGAAACCTTATTTTCCAAGTATCGATCCGCAGGGCGGGCAGCAAAATGCAAAAACCTCAGCAAGACAAATCTGCTGTCACGTCTTACAGTAGAAATCCGGCAATCAATGTCACCGAACTCCGGTGGGGCCCGTGTGAACCTAATTCCACTCATTGGCGCTAAATAGTGAAAACCCATGGGTTCATCAATCATCAATTCAAGGGGCACTCTTTATTTAATAGTCTGGTCTTTACTTGCTGAACAGCCAGTGCCCTTTTTTTCAGCCTGTAGCAGTAGATACACATTCACTTCACAGAGGGGGAAGATGGAAGCAATATGTTTTTACGCTGATTGCTGTTTTCCACTTCTCGCTTGCTTTCTTGCACCATAATTCTCAATTTACAGCTGTCTACTTTCATAAATTGCGAACAATCCTTGCGGCACATCCTGATTATCTTGTAAGCCTGCGTGGTATGCAGTGATTGGTCAGTTTGTAGAAAAATACGATACGCTTGAAAATCGAGGTTTTCCAAAATGATTCGGATGTTAATGAACCGTAATCTATTATACGGAAGCACGGAACGCAATGTAAAAAAGTATTATATTGGTGCATAAATTAAGGCAATCAAACAAGGAGACACCAAATTAAAGTAAATGTAGTACAAAATATACACATGGTACATATATTTTACACACATTTTAGGGTGTTTTGATTCATTTTAAGGCCTTTTTTGGACATTTTTGTGGATTTCTTTTCACGAAAGTCATAGCCTTCGTTTCGTGTCATTTTTCAAAATCTGGTATGATGTTTTTTGGTAATTTTAGTACAAATTATACACATGATTACATATGTTAGGGTATTTGACGCATTTAAGGTCTTTTTGGACATTTTTATTTTTTTAATTTATTTTTTTGACGAAAGTCATAGCCTTTATTTGTGTCCTTTTTCAAAATCTGATATGTTTTTTGGACATTTGGTAGTAATTATTACATATGATTACATACTTAAAGAGTATTTTTAGACATTTTTATTTTTTGAAAATTGTCATATAAGTCATAGCCTTTGTTTCATGTCATTTTCATTTTCATTTTTGTTTCATTTTCGAAAATCAAACATGATTTTCTTTGGTAATTTTGGTACAAATTGTACAATTTTTTATTTTTTGAAATTTGTCATACAAGTCATAGCCTTTGTTTCTATGTCGTTTTCGAAAATCAAACATGATTTTTTTTGGTAATTTTGGTACAAATTGTACAAATGGTTACAAAAGTTAGGGTACCTTGACGCATTTAAGGTCTTTTTGGACATTTTTATTTTTTGGATTTTTCACAAAAGTCATAGCCTTCGTTTCGTATTGTCTTTCAAAATCTGATATGATTTTTTTTTGGTAATACTTTGGTGTATTTTTATGCATTTAAGGCCTTTTTGGATATATTTTTTTGGGGGGATTTTTTTCATGAAAGTCTTAGCCAGTGTGGTCGTTTTGCGTCACGTTTTTCACAAACCAAAATATGATGATTTTTGGTCATTTTTGTATGAATTACACACATGGTTACATATTTTAGATCATTTTAATGCATTTTAAGGCCTTTTTTGACATTTTCTTTCGACTGTTTTATAATTTTTTGACATTTTCTTTCGACTGTTTTAACTGAACAAAATATATCCATATGACTGAATTTCTTTTTGTGATTTTATTTCCCTCAGGTTTCAAGTGCCCATGTCAAGTCTGGAAGCCCGAACTTAGCGCTAAAGCATCTCTGGACAGAAAACAGTAAGGATATGTCAATAAGTAGGCTGCTGACACAAACACTCCATGGTAAAGAGAACAACACAGCTTTAAACCCTCACTACGACGCTCCCGAACCATACTCGGACCAGGATCTGTGGGACTGGCTAAGGAATTCCACAGATCTGCAGGACTCACGACCGCGGGCCAAGCGGCGGCCAATGGTGAAGACGGGAAAATTCAAGAAGATGTTTGGCTGGGGGGACTTTCATTCCAACATCAAAACAGTCAAACTCAACCTTCTCATTACTGGTAAGATCGTGGATCACGGCAACGGGACATTCAGTGTTTACTTTCGCCACAACTCCACAGGTCAGGGCAACGTCTCGGTCAGCCTGGTCCCTCCGACAAAGATCGTGGAGTTCGACGTGGCAGCGCAACAGTCTGTCATCGACGCGAAAGACTCCAAGTCCTTCAACTGTCGCATTGAGTATGAGAAGGTGGAGAAAGGTGCTAAGAACACTCTTTGCAACTTTGACCCATCCAAGACCTGCTACCAGGAGCAGACACAGAGCCACGTGTCCTGGCTCTGCTCCAAACCTTTTAAAGTCATTTGCATCTTCATTTCCTTCTACAGCACTGACTACAAACTGGTGCAGAAAGTGTGCCCAGACTACAACTACCATAGTGACACACCTTACTTCCCCTCCGGCTGACCGTCAAATAAAACCAGTCAGACGATAGATAAGCGGAGCGCAGGACGGGGCTTATTCCCAGTCCGGAGAAATATGTTGAGGTTTTTTTTTTGTTTTTTTTTCAGATAATGTTGAAACATGGGAATGTTAACATTTCAAATCGTTTTTTTTTCCATGTAACCATTGTAAATTTTGCGTGTCTGATTATTTTATCCTGTTATCCCACACATATATAGATATATAGATATAAAGTAGAGATGACATTTAAAGTCGTAAAATGACTTAAATGATCTGGAAAGCTGTGCTAAAACTATCAGGTATATATTTTTTTGTCCTACGATTATTACGTATTATTTTGAGTTAATATCATGTATTTATGTACGTATTTTATTTATCCGTTTGCTTGGTTACCTTGTTCTGGCCCGTGGCCAACACGTTTTCTCCCTGGACACTTTAACATTTGGCCCCTGCTGTGCTAATAATATGCAGCAGTTTATCCTGCGTAAAAGAGAACACACCTCAAATATAAAAAAAAAAAAAAAAAATAATAAAACACACACACACACATACATATATATATATAAATATATAAATATATTTACTAGTTAACAGTGGTGCCGGCAAGGTACCTTAAGAGGAGAGTGAAGACTCGATGTGAGTTGGATGGATATAAAAATGTGGGGTGGTCCTATCTGTCTGATATCCCTCAGGTGATCCTAATTCAGGAGAGAAGACAAACGTAACATGTTCTGATACTCTACCACATTCAGATGCAAACTGCAGATGGACTGCCTTGCTCTTGGCGGACGGAATGTCCAATCACCTGACCGAGTGACTGAATCATTGACTTGTATGGGGCTTGCTCATTGTTACCTAATATATAAGCTGTAATGTATTGAATTCAATATCTTAGAATCGAATTTGTATAAATGGGTCGTATTGTACAAAGTTTATCCCAATTGCGCTGCTTCTACACACGCCACCTTGCCATAAGCTGTGTTCCTCTCCTCGGCGAGTCCTGTTGTACACTCCATTTATGCTTGGTTTGGTTCCTCTAGCAAAGAAATTGATGTCGCTGCCCTAGATGTGGACTTCATAAAAACAGCAATCCTCTAAAGCTGTAAAACTGACTGAAAAATATTATAAAAAAAAAAAGAAGATTCACTGATTTCTAACTGAGTGGTGGGTGGGAAATGGGTTGGATGTGTATTGTACATATAAAAATTTTAAGTGAATGCTGTCATGTGTCTGTTCTTACGATATGTCCCGTTTTAATGGTGAATCGAGATACGGGTATAATCCGTTCCAAGACCAAGCTCGTTTTTTTAAATTTTTTTGTACTTTAGGATGGTATAATCGTGGATGTACTGCGATCATACATACATGCTAGGTCACCACGCTCATATTTATTGACTCACTACCATCCTTACCGCTCACTTTCTTAGGACTCATCACTATTATGAGGAGTAATGCACAAAATAGAGAGAAAATCACGGAAGCGATGCTTACGGAAGTCGGCGTGAAATGATGCTAATGCTCGGCCACCTAGCATCGGTGTCTGTAAGCGTACTCATATCCCGGATCTTTAGTCGTATCTCGAAGGAAAAAATGTACTCAAAGGTTTGCTCATATCTCGAAATACACGTATGTTGAGGCGCTCATATCTCGAGGTCCCACTGTATATATTACGTTTTTGACGAAATACGATATGCCGATATTGCCCAAACACTTAATTTCCGATATCAACTGATATCCATTTTTCCCCAAAATTGCGGTAAATGTTTAAGGACCCCACAACCGATTCCAACATATTTGGTGAAACCATCCCCACCCGCCCAAAACAAACCCCAGGACACACTTTTTTTTAAAAAAATACTGCCTCTGCAAAAAACTTGTTAACATGTCTTACTCCCTGAAAGGAAAACCAAAAAAAAAAAAACTGAGGGTTTGATTTGTAAAAATCGATCCCCCCACCTGCCACAATGGCACTCTGCCCTTCGTCAGGTGCACCCCCCACTTTGAGAACCTCTGTGTTATTGGTCAGTGGTCATGTCCCTGTTTTCCTCTACACTCTCTTTGGGTATTCAGCCACACAGAGGCTAAATAAAATAACGAATTACCAGCACTCCATCAGAACTAACAAAGCCTTTTGGGTGAGAGGTCAAATGTCTTCTACAAAAAAAAACCCAAAACAGTCCAGTTGCCTATTTCAAAAATGCTTCAGATAAAACGACCCGGAGGCCTGAGAACTACACAAACATGTGTTTTTTGTTGGTTTTCTTCTCTTTCTTTCTTTTTTTTTTTTTTTCTAAATTGACTCAATGACTAATTATTCAATTTAAATGTGTCACAGGAAATTACACAGGATCCATACATCAAAAGTGCCCGGCGCGCGAACACAATGTATGTAAACAGCCCGTGGACAAAAGGGACCACGGAACAGAAAATCTCCGTGCCTGACTATAATTACTTCTTGGAGCCGCTTCTGATCTCGCACCATGTGTGATCGAGCAGATTTCCTAATATAATTGAGCGCGCCAGAAAGTTGGACATGTGGAAGCAAACTTCTCTCGCATGTCCCAGAGAGACGGGGCAATTGGGATGAAAGACCGATAGCGTCTGTTCTGGGACTCTGCAGTGGCACCCGCCATCGTATTCCTCCGACTCGACAGTTAGGATAAGCAGTCGGCTTTAAACAGATTACAGCCTCTTGGGGGGGAGGGGGAAATCCACTGCCTTTAGCAAGCTCACAACTTATCAGTAATTATAGTGGATGCCAGGTTTTGTGTGTTCATTGGCAGTCTGCAGGGGGGCTTTTATAGCTGTCGTCATTAAGGAGCTACTTCCAGCACTTTGCCCTCCACGCTTACTTTTAACAAGCCAGCAGGGATTCCTTTTCACATGTTCTAGCGTGGAGCGTATGTTTTAAAGAAGATCGGTGTACCATGAACAATCCATAGTCCTTCTAAATAAGATGAATAAATGTACTTTTCCTTTTTTTTTTTTTTTTTTTTTTTTTTTTACAACCATGGAGCAAGCGTTGAATTGCCACGAGGGACTGTACACAGGATATGTACTAACTTTTATAATAAGGGGACCATATGCACATTATGTACAGTAATAGACCCGTCGGTCACACACCATTACATGTTAGGAAGGTATGAGGGTTGAAGTTACAGACCATGGTTACTGAATCAGTCCTGATAAAAAAAAGGCTGTGCTGGCAAGTCTTTGTAAATGAGGTTCCTTTAAAACATAGGTTTCTGTTAATGATTGCATTGCTCCTTAAAAACACAACAGCTCATATAGTCAGAGACAGCAATGAAAGCCTCCCCTAAATCCCATGAATTGAAATACTATTGAGAACCCGGTCACATGTATATTTTTATCTGTACAAACCACTGTATGAGTTGCTGCCACCTAGTGACTGGAGGCTTGTTATCGTTCAAGCAGTACAGCAGTAGTACACTTATGTCCAGTGTGCTATATTCTATTGGAAGCCCCTCACGACCCCTAGGGGGACCCACCCCACTATTTCAGTACTGACTTAGTTCAGCAAGCGGGGGACCCACCCCAATATTTCAGTACTGACTTAGTTCAGCAAGGCAGTCTGGTAGAGATGCGACTGAAGCAGAATATGTGCCTGAATTGGTGATGCTGCAATACGGCGCAAAGCCAGAAGGCAGCTGGCAAGGTACAAGCCTCCACATGTACTTTTTACTTTTCTGTTTTTTCAGGTTTTTTTTTTTTCTTTTCTGGAAGCTTATGGCACAGGTGTCTTGGTGAGGAATTCCATATTGACTTTTTGCAAAGCCTCTATTCAATATTTTTTTACTTTGTTGGAAAACACGATTACATCAAGGTTGACTCCTGTTTACTCCACTGTGCTCTGATGTAATGATAAATAACCTCTACTGGTCCAGTATAAAAAGCCTGCATTTGCTACTAGAAACGATCAGTAACATTAGTTAAAATCAGGATGGTGTGTCTAGTGTTGAACAAACAGATTCAAACCGAATCAAAATGTGCTACAGTGAACACCGAATTAATAAAAAAATATACAGTAAATGACAATAATAAATCTCTCTTTAATTGGTATAGGCCTAAAGTAACTCTCTCCCTCAGTACGTCGCAGATTTTTTTTAAATCCGATTTCACAAATTGTTCCGCTATATCGCGAAATATAGCAAAAAATAAAGTAACGGACATTATGAAATAACATACGAAAGCTTTGGATTCTCATTTTGAAATTGAGATAAGCGCATTTGCGAACGATTGCTGGTTGGCTATTACAATGCGTACCCGGTGTACTACTGGCTAATAGAGCATGCTGTTCTGTTCCTGGCGCTGATTGGCTCATGCATCGTAGCATCTCTCAGCATCTTCTCTTGTTTGCTATTATAAAACTCTACTGTGCGGGAAAGGGTAAATATACGTATACGTAAATAATATAATAACTATCTATATACATATAAGTAAATAATATAATAACTATCTCGTCTCTACTTCGTGATTTTTCCCATTTCGCGGTGGGTCTTGGGACGGGTTTTTAAATTTTAAAGGCTTTTTTAAAATGTTTACACCCCTAGTGACGGAGTCAGGATCAGAACATGTCAATCAAGTAAATCAATCTACATGCATATAAAATCTCCATCACAGACACCGAATCATCTAAATCTGCAGGGTTTCTAGTTAGAAAAGAGTCCCCCAACTCTTTCTGTAGCGGCCAATTCTGTAGTGGCCAGCCAGAGGATTCAAAGGATCAAGGTTAAAGGTCACCTTGGACCTGTACACAGCTTTGAATAATTAACCATGGTCCTGAGTATTTAGAAATATACCATAAAGACATAAAGTGCTAACGGAAATATCGCAACCATTTAGTCCATAAATACAACTGTGGAAGAAAACATCCAATCCAAGAATACAACATGATGTGCTTGGTGCGGAAGACTATTTATGGTGGACGGCGATGTAACCACGTAACATCGTATGTCAAAGATGATGTAAACCGAGGATTCCAATTTAAGATTTCAAAAATTCACTTTCACAGAATCTACATATTTATTTTATTATGCCAAATGCCAGGATTAAAAGAGAAATTTTAATTATATTTACACATTTTTATATAATAGAAAAAATATATAATATTGTGTAGCACACAATAGAACACTTACACATAAGGTAACAATAAATCAATGTTACTACATTTAAATCCTGAATAATATCTTGACAAATGCCTGTAGTGATCTGTGAATGAGATACATAGCACGTACTTCTCTTTTTATGATCTAACCATTTGGCACATCTGCAAAATAACAACCATTTCGGTTCAGAAGTTGTACACATTAAGTCTTCTTTTGTCAATCCAATCCTGACCTAAACTGTGTATTTTCCCTGGACAGAGTATCTGCTCTAATCAAAAATGGAATGGAAAAGGGTCCTTCCGTGCCTCTGGGATATTTTTCCATTAAACATTTTGACACATGACTGACTGTGGGGGATTATTGGTTTTTAAAGAACTATTAACAGCCTTACATTTGCATTTTAATACACTTTGCCTAAACTTACTAATGCAATTTGCTTCCGAGCAATTCAGACTAACCCTCTTGCTTTCATCATTTTAATTTCCCCTGAATTATTGGTTTCGAGTAATCTCTTCTTCATCAACACACAGTGAAGACCAGCCATAAAAACACATTTTTAAACAGCTGCCAATTAACACAGGTTTGTTATTTAGTGCACGAGTTTGAGGAGAGTTTGTTTACTTGGACATTTGGCTACTGCATATTGTCTGTGTGAAAGAAAATATAGTGAAAGATAATAACTTACCTTTAGTGAGTTTAGTTAATGTCAAATGGCTGTTATCACCTTTCACCACTGCTTGTTCAATAAGCTATGTTAAATCATGGCCACCATTAACAGTTTAAAATGATTTTAAACTAGCAATGGTGGCCATGAATTGTTTAGTTCAGCATAGTATCAGTTGTCTATATATAAACACTAAGTTATGGTTTATTTTCTGTTCTGTCTACCGAGTGTAACCCACACAATTAAGGTAATTGGTAATTTTATAATGAATACATTTCGCGCAAGTTTTAATTTTGAACTTCATTGGCGCCCGTAGAGGTGTCGGCGTCAGTCTCCGTTCGTAGCGTCGACAGAGAACAGTGATAAAAAAACAACGACAGAGGGAGAAGAAAGTATCACAAACGTTTTGTCCGAAACACAGACGATATAGCGAAAATTGTGAAGAAAGTAAAGGAGTAAGTGCATGAGAAGGAGATGCAGCGACTCCGCTTTTATCTTGTGAAACGTTTGAACTTCGATGACGTTGGATTAGCAACCTGCCGCTGAAACTCAGGTGAGTGTTTTAAAATGGCCGCGGGCTAACAGTTCGGTCATGGCGTTGCAAAACGATTGAATACGCGCTAAAATCAAGTTGGAGTATTTATGCGTGTTTATTTTATGTGAATTTGTAAATAACGTGTTTATGATTTAACTTTATACCGAAATTATGTAATAGATAACCCATTTAAAATGTATTAATGTGTTCTGCGAGTTTAAATGTGGAGAAATGCATTTATAAACACTATTAGAAATAAACAGTTAATTGAAAGATTGTATCTATTTAGGACTTCATAAATGTAATTGTAATATTTGATGTAGCAATTGAATTTAACGAACAATTCACCGTGCTGAATTATTTTAGTTTCAAATGAGTAATTTAATTTGTTGTTCTGCACAATATGCGCAGACTTGTTTGGGGACCCCTTGATTGACCACAAGAAATCTTCAATTTGATGGCAAGCCAGAACCCCAGAGGAAGCTGTGGAGATTCCTGCAAATAGAATTACCAGGTACCACAAGATAATTCACTGTGGAATCCGCTCCTAATACTCAAAGATTCCAGATAAGTGTTTGAACACGCACGCATTATTATTAGAGTGATGTAAACTGGCAACTTTTCCACTTCTAATGTCTGCACCATACCGTAAATCCAGATCTTAAACAGGACTGCCAATATCATGCTTTCGTATAATCTTAATTTACTTGTATTGTTGTTTTCACTATTTTTCTTTCCCATGGTGATTTATGAAATAAGAAAATTACAGAAAATAGCACAACGCAAGAAATACCAGCGGTTCGTAGCGTGTATATCCCGAGCGCGGACTGACACCACTGAGTTATTAGTTATGGCACGACAACCGGGACAATTTTTGGTATTGTCTCTTGTTCAGCAACTGAGTTATGGCACGACAACCGGGACAATTTTTGGTTAAAAAAAAAAAAACGTACATACAAGTCAGTAAGTCAGTGCTTTGTTTCTGCGTGTGTGTGAGATAGTAGTGAGTGTGTGTCACTTTGGAGTTAATTCATTCCAATAGCTTCATTTTGAGGCTGTGGACTTTCTTGAGCAGCTTTGCCCCATCAAGCTCCAAAAAAAGTTTCTGGAATACCTGAAATGTGTTCTTCAGTTACTTGGGATACTCCAGGTTGAGGGCATAAATTAACCCCAATAATAGCATGCAGGCTCTGGTGCGGTTCCCATACTTGGTCAGGACTTAATTGCCCTTGAACAAAAAACTATTTGCATTTTTAGTGTAATAACAGTATGCTATTCCAATAGATTTAAATTCTTGGTCAAATGTAGCACATAGTTTTTAAAATATTGGCATTGGCCTAAATTTCACAAAAAAAATATGGTGCACCCTTATTTTCCATAAGGCTAATCTTTAATTATTGAATTAAAATCTATGTTTCAGTCCATTTTCTGCAACACTTACAGTATGTAACCTACCATTCCCCTTCACTGCAAATAAAGAAACTGCCATTGCCAATGTTGTATAAAGCATTGTAAATGCATTGTAAGTGCAACCAATCAGTAGGAGGTCCGAGGACCAATAAGTGCCTCCCATTTCCTTTGTGATGAAATTCTGGTGTTTTGTCATTTAATAACATAACTGGTCCTGGAAAAGCTGTTGTTGCTCATCTCCAAGGTATTCAATGAAGCAGCAGATAATGGTATCACTCTTTTTGTCAATGCTCTACGAATGAAAGGAGATGCAGTTTAGTGAGAGGACTTATAGTTGAAATCAGTCGAATGAGGATAGGAGGACAAGAGAGGATAGAGCTGGGGATAATGAAAAGAGAAGAGAAGAATATGAGAGGAGATGAGGATGTGAAAGGACAGAAGGAGGAGAGAAGAGAGGAATAGAAAAAAGGGTTGAGAGGAGGATGATGGGAGATAAGGAGAATATGAGGAGATGAGGGGGATATGTAGATCAGAGGACAAGAGGAGAATAAGAGTCAAGGAAAGAAAAAGATAAGGAGTTGAGATGAGGATGATAGGAGATGAGGAGAGGACAGGAACGGAGAGAACAAGACTATAAGAGATGAAGTGATGTCCATTTTTGGAAAAAAATTCTTATGCTATACATAAAGTACAGGTTCTAACTTTTTGAATTCATGTTAACGTGAAAACCATGGAGTGATTAAAAAAAGTCGTCTTTTACTGACTTCAGTTAGATAGTATGCAAAGCTCTGTCTTCAGCTGTGTTTCTGCAAGATAATTCACCTCCACTTTCTTTGGCTTTTTTTACACTTTTGGCTGGGACTGCATTGGCTGGCCCCTTTAGCATACCTTCACGATTTCAGCTTGGCACTGTTCTTGATGCATTGCTGCCAGCCATACATTCCTGCAAAGGACCCTGGCTCCTTAAGGGATGGAAACTTCTGAACAAGGGCTTCAGCCACTGAGAATACTTGCAGACTTGAAGGGTAGGCTGTGTAAGCGAATATGACTCTTGAAAGGTCGTGCATTATTACTGATTTCATGCTTGCATCTCTGATGTATGTTCCAGAGGCATGATATGTTTTGTTTGCCTCTGCGAGGACAATTTCAATGTCGAGGGAAAACTGCGGAATTTCAAATGGCACTAGCCATTGAGCAGAGCGGCATGATTCAGGGAGAATAATGGTGTCTTGTGAGGTGGACGAAGCACAGTCATCCACTTGAGGGGACACTTCATCATCTGCATCTCCAGTGTCCACTTCACTTAGTGTAGATGATAGTCCAGATTCATATAGTGGATGTAAGTCCAGGGTAACCATCGGTTCTTTTCTTATTTTTTTCACAGTGGCCTTGTCATGCAGGTTGGCTGTTGAGGTAAGTTCCTGATGGAATCATCAACTTTCGTATGTCATGTTCTTCTATGTTGCCTCCTAAATTCTTGCGTAATGCAAAAGTCAGAGGAACAGCTTGTGGACTGTTTGTTTTGTCGTTCCACTTGTAAGGAAACTGATGGATGGAATGATTTAGCTTCTGAAGAGAGAAGTATTTCTTGTTGATAAACACAACAAGACGGAGAGCTATTTCTACTGGTACGATCCCTTCCAGTAAATCATGCAACGCTGTAGGGGAGAAAATAAGTTGAGAAAATAAAGGGAGAAAACAAAACAGTCAGATAAGTCAAACCTGATTCAACGCAATCACACTAATTCTCGACATTGTTCACTTGTAACACATAAAGTACAAAACAATAAACTCACTTTTCTGTTAATTTTCTTCCACAAAGCCATCAAACAGTGGGGTAATTGTACTGTAACAATTGTTGTTGAATTTCACTCATGCTACTGATATTGTTTGGGCTAATTAAGTAAACTGCCACCAGAGCAACAAGACGCTGAACTACTGTAGGCAAATATCAAACACCGGCCAACCTCTCTGCAGCTGGTTGTAGTATGAACCCTTTATATGGATTGGGGTCGCTGGATTGGTACATTTCTGAGTACATGTAAATATATTTGAAAGAGGAATAGGATACGATACGATCGTGATGTTAGTATAGGTATCCGTGCATCTTTAGTAGTATTTGTTTGGATGGATGGGTGGGTGGGTGTGTAGATTGAAAGACAGACAGGAACAAAACAGGCATAAAGAAAAGGCTTGATGTTAGAAGTGACAAAACTGGGCGTGTCAATAGCAAGTAATCATTTCTCTGCGATTGACACTCCATGTTTTAGTTTCAATGCCCCGAGGTGGTGCTTTTCATACACCACGCTAATTAATTTGTTTTCCATACAGTTATTGAACCTTTACTAACGCTAACAAACACCAGCAGAGGGGAGAAGAGATTCTCTGGGGAAATTAACATATTTAATAGCGGTTAACCTTTTGTTCATGCGTTCTCTTTGATCAAGGTCGTCGGACATGTAGAGTTTGTCAAAGTTTAGGTAGTTCTACACTTCGCACTATCAATGATAGTGTCACAACATTACAGGCTCTTCAGTGTGTCTGGTGAATTACCCCTTTTGTCACGCACCCGTCATTGTTGAAGCTTGCGTTGAATAGCTGTAGCATGTGGCAGCGGTCATCTAGTTGCCAGGTTTGCTGGACTGTCTTAAAAACAACAGCATTGCTTCTGCTGCATGACAGGTCAAACACAACTGTAGAAACACAACCACTCAACTCAATGCAAAGCAATCATAAGAAAAGAAATAAAAACATTAGGTGTAGTATTAGAATTCTATAAAACAGAAAGTGCGTGCCTCTCTAGTTGCTATTCGAAAAGTATTTACTAACCTGGGCCCTAGAAAAGATCGATGTTAGTGATTCTGCACTCTGCTGTTTTAAATAAGTATTAATATGATATGATTTAATTCAGTATACAGTATGATTAGTCTACGGCATTTGGAAACAAAGGTTGATTACATCTAACAAAACTACTCTGGTTCATCTGCCCTTTGATTTAGTTTGACGAAGTTATCAATTATTGACAATAATGGGAGACATGATGGGGCTGGGCAGTGTGTGTGTGTGTGTGTGACAAGGGTAAAAAGAGGGATTAATTTAGCCCCAAGTGCTGCTGTTCCAGTTGGACGAAGATCAATCAAACAAAAGTAAAAGTGTATTAAGGGATTATAGATTAGCAATTAGATGTCTGTGGAGTAGCGAGACAGCGCTGTAGCAAAGTTCCTTCAGTCTTTAGGGTAGTTTAGCTGTATCATGGCTATCCTTCTTCCATTACTCCACACCCACATATACTATATGCTGCTACTAGGCTAAGGCTCCCAACCACCAGGCCCAAGACTGGTACTGGGCCACATGGAAAGAAAAAAAAAAGTGAAAGTGGTAACACTGACGCACAGCACACCGCTGGACACAATGAAATGTATATACCGTATATATATAAAGAATCCAGTCGCATCTATCTATCCATTTTTTCTATTCATCTATCTATCTATGTTTAATTTACTGTTGGTCTTGTCAGTTTCTCCTCTGTGTTCGTCTCACTACATCTTGACAGCTGGTCCATAAAAATATTGCTCTGGATTAAACTAGGGGTGTGAAGTGGTTGGAGACCCCTGCTCAAAGAGATGTATTTAAGTCTACTGGCTGTTTGATCATCTTGTTCCTCAAGGGCAAACATTTCCTTTTTAATCACCCGTTCAATTCAAAAATGTACTCTTGACAATTTCTTTTAATATGCGTTTTTTGGACCAAAATTATAAATGAAAGTTTTTAGATATTCTTTGATCTTAAAATATACAACCTGGAGCAAATTTGACTGTTGAAGTAATTGCTATGTGCGGTGGCAGTCAAAGCGCCACTCGGTGACCCACCAAATAGTGTGAAAAAGAAAAAAAAAAACACTTTATGACCTGAAAATTAACAGATGTACTGTAAACAGTTATTATTTTTGTACGTGTTGTATTAGTCAGAAAAGTGTTCTAATTTAGAAATAGCCATAAAACTTGTGGAGCACTGCCAGATCCATGCTTCACAGATACATGATATGTTACAAGCTCATTAATTTTCCAGGCTGGTTGGCAGAGAAGTTAAAAAACTCCCTTTGTG